AATTAAACGTACGAAATATTAACAGATGAAGTCACAGTAGAAAAGGAAATTCGTGATCAGCCAAGGCTTGAAAATCTCCGTTTTCCTTGAAAAGAGAAACAAAAATTCCTCGATCATAGTAGTATACCAAATATAATATTATTAACAGCGGAATTAAACAAGTACGAAGTAACAGACGAAGCCACACAGTAGAAAAGGATATTCTTGGTCGGCCAAGACTCGAAATCTCCACTCTCTTAAAAAAGAAAAAGAAAAAAAATCCTTGATCTCGTTTTAAATATGATTTTGTGAACAATTAAACATGTACGAAATATTAACAGATGATGTCACAGTAGAGAAGGATATTCGTGATCAGCCAAGACTCGAAATCTCCTCGATCTCGTTTTAAATATAATTTTGTTAAGAATTAAACGTACGAAATATTAACAGATGATGTCACAGTAGAGAAGGATATTCGTGATCAGCCAAGACTCGAAATCTCCTCGATCTTGTTTTAAATATAATTTTGTCAAGAATTAAACGTACGAAATATTAACAGATGAAACCACAGTAGAGAAGGATATTCTTGGTCGGCCAAGACTCGAAATCTCCATTCTGTTTAAAAGAAAGAAAAACTCGTTCGATCTTGCTCTAAATATTAAAGTACCTAAAGCCTATTTGTCGTTGGAGGGTCAATCGGTTGGCTCTGTTCCGGATACCCGGCAAGTGCAAGTCGAGCTGGCATCCAAGCACTTCCGCGTCGCGTCGTCCAAGAATCTGAAAGTACGTTTACCTTGGCTTAACCTGTTTAAATCACGCGTTCACCTAGTCGAGCTGCGTTGGCAAGGGGTTAGGGATGTCAGGAGGGAAACATTTCACACCGGGCTGGGGTGTACAGTTTCGCTGAAGGCGCAAAGGTCTCTCTCGGGCTTCTTGTTCGAGGATGTAATGGACGTATTAAACGGAATTTTTGCGAAATTGGCGAAACGTCGATTGAGTATCCATCGACGGCGCGAAGAGGGTGGAGGACAAACCATCAACTGGGGGGGGGGGGGGAGAAGGGGACGATCGTCAAGCCTGACAAAAGCACTCGGCCGCTAATGCTTGGTAATTTTCCACGAAGGTCGCGTCACTCTGTCGAAGGTGGTATCGATTCGATTTCGCGATAACCACGCGGCCGTGCGCCGGGAATTACATCGGGCCGGCGATCAATCATTCGTTAACGAGTGACGCGACGCGCGCCATAATAACGCGCGGCGCACGCGAATCGGTTAACCCATTGAGACGTTAACGTATTCAACGCTTTGCGCATTCACGTCCACCCGCGGCTACATTTGTTTTCGTCAACCGAGCCAGGCTGAGCCGAGCCGAGCCGGCAAAATGCCGCCGAGAGAAAAAGGATGAACCGGCTTTACCTACCACTGACAAATTATACTGTCCATTGGCAATCCTTTGCTCGACATATTTCGCAGATTCCTACCAGCGTTTCGAAATTGTTGGAAATTTCATTTCACTCGTCATTCCGGAAACACATAATTTTAGCAACGGGCTGAGAGTCATTGTTTGTTACAGAGCGAGCCAAAAGTTTCTATCAGCCTATTTTTTTTTTTTTTTTTTTTTTTTAATAAAAGTACAAGGAGAAACTAATTTTATTTAATTTCAAATTGAACTTAAGTTCAAATGTGAACAAAATTTTTTTTGAAATACATGAAAGAAAAATTACGGATTTATTTTTGTAGGAAGTGATTCTTAGCCCACTCTATGGACGTACATCAACCAGAGATCGAATTGATATTATAAATGTCGGTATTTTTAGATAATTGTTCTGTAATATTATCGCAGTGCTTAAATTAAATGCTTCGGATACCGGTGCGATGTTATTAAAGCGGCGTTATGCCGATGTAATATTTATGTAATACCGGTAAATATCATAGAATAAAGAAACACAAATTGGATTAAAATCGTGTTCCAGTGGAATCGGAGTCGGATTTATTGAGAAATGCCTGCTTCAAATAAAAACTATATAATGTTGCTGGAAAAAATTCAGCAACTCACCTTGGTGACGGATAGTGTTCTTAGGCAATCGGTTGAATCACAAGTTTCGTTCGAATTTGTAGCTAAAATTGTATTCTACAAAATTATAAGTTTCGTTCTAGTTATCCACACGTAAAAACGAAGACTATATATTTTTACTACGAAGATATATATTTAAGAATATATATTTAATACTACGTTCTCTCTTGTAAATACCAGAGCAGAATACCCATGTAAATTTCAATGTTTATACGGATATTGGCGTCAAATAGTACTAGGAATTATTTAAGAATATTAATTTTTAATTGATTATTAATATTAAATAGGTTTTAATGGGATCGATCAAAAAGAGCTTACGTTACATTATTATTAACCCAAATATAAATTATCTGTTTTACTAACTGAAATATAAATGTAAAATATCGGAACTTCAAGATATATCGGTATCCGATGTCTGGTATTGACGCAGACTCTTACTACTTCCGCGCCCGCATAGTCGAGCGCACATACTACTCGCGTTCGGTCGATTTAAAACTTACTTCGCTCGTCTAATCGTTCCACATCCTTCCCTCCAAATCGCATTCGTCCATTTTATATTGAAATGAAAATTTCAACTTTCGCTGAAAAAACGATAGAATTTCCAACACGGAACAATCGATCAAGAAACGAACAAAAATCTAATTTTCATCGAGCAATCAATGTTGTCAAGATATAATACCTTTCAACCTCTGAATCTCGGAAGTAGTTGGCATTTAATTACAAAATCTTCACTCTAGGTTGGACAAGACATACGTCGTTGTGTGGTAACATTTTATTTTATTTTATTTTTTCTCCGCGACTTTAGGATGGAAATTTCCGAAAATTCAGCCGAGGCTCGACCGGTCATGGCGTCTTCGGCCATTTTTTTTTTTTTTTTTGCCCGATCGATAGCAGCCGGGCGATTGAATCGCAGGACGATGCGAACTCGTGACGTGAGTTTCCGAACTTGAAACTGTTTTCGCGAACGCGCGAAAAACGACGAGCATTGAGGGGGCCGCTGGCCCCATCGATCACGCGGCCTCTCGTTCATCCGTGAACGACTCGGGCTCGGGAAATCGATCACCCAGCGCCGGGGAGTTTCCGTTCGGGTGCGTCGCCATCCCGTGGGGTCCATCTTCTTCGCGACTCGTCTCAAGTTTCCGCGAACTTTCAGTGCTCCTTCCACTGCTAAGAACGGCTGTAGTTTTTCGCAGTGAAATCACTTCTTCTTTCTCGAATTCCGCACGTCGAATTCCCAAAAATTGTTAAAAACGAGAACAACAAACGGGAATCCGGCCTCCTCGGAAGTTTCACAAGATTTTCACGAAAATATTTTTGTATCGCGTAGTAAGTAAGAGGAAATAAAGATGCTAATTCAAACGTCTTTAACACGTTCCGTGCCATGTGTACCACCGGTGGTACACGTTAAATTGATCTTCAGGCCACATGTACCACCATATTTCTAATG